AGTTAGTTACACGAATTTAAATATGGAGCTTTAATAAGTTGTACTTGTGCATAATTTACTTGTAATCTTGAATTTTAAGTAACATATGCATCAATATGTAATATTTCATGCATAAAAATGATTTTTAAGAGTTTTTGTTAAATGCTTTGTAATATAGTATAGATGTAGATAACAAGGACATAATCGGTACTAATGGGTAAAGCACAGGGATCAAAATACAATTTACTCTTTTGTTTGTAAGGTTTATTTTGAACTCCAAAACCCTGTAAATTGATTTGAGAGAGGAGAAGAAGAAGGGGGGAAAGTAAATGGAAACGGACGACTGGGAATTCAGTGCGGAGGAGCTTGAATTTCTGGAAAGGGATGCTCTCAATCGGATCGCTCAACGAAATGCCACCGTTACTACACACTACAATCGTTCACCTTCTCCTCTCGTCGACAAGGTATTGGAACTCTTTCCATTGTTGATTATTTCATCTTCATGATGCGAATATCTGCTTAAAAGAAAATGAAGAGTTTCAAAGCCGCAATAGTAATCATCTTTAAAACACAATAACAATCATCTTCTTTACGAATAGTTGTGGGAAGGTTGTGTGATTAACTAGAGAGCATGACTGAGAATTGATTATGGCGACTGCAAGTATTTTTGTAGTAGTTAATTATATTTGGAAAATAGGTAAATTCTTTGCCAACTGCTTCAGGGAATCTGACAGCAGGCACAACACGAAATTTATCTGGTGAGTTACGTCCCCAAATTTATTTCTTTGTAGACTGTGTTCACGTGCTATGTGATAGATTCAGGGGTTTTTTTTTTCCTAGGAGATGATTGTTCAAAGACTCGGCAGAAAGTGTCTGTTAAATTTTTTCTACATGCGAGTGGATACATTGCTGCAAAATGTGTATATGACCAGGTACTTGTTCTGCCTTACTCCTTCATGTATTTGCAGTAGATGCTTGTCCTATTCTAGCTTTTAGGGTTGTCTCTATCTTTTTTCAGGTGCTTGTGGGAGCATTACGCAAAATTCCAAAAGCAACTTGGAATGCAAAAGAGAGGTTTCCTTCTCTCTCTCTCTCTCTCTCAAGTGACTGCCTTCAAAATCATTTTATAGATTTTTTCTCTAAAATTTCACTATTTGTTCTTTTTAACGCAGATTGTGGATGTTCCCTTTGTTATCTTTATCATCAGCAGAAAAAGTTATTGGTGAACTAAATGGTTCTAACATTGAGGTGATGTATAAGTAATACTACTTTTCATTATGCTATTTGTAGATGATTTCGGTTCCCATTGATAGAGCATATCATTGTTGCAAATGGATCTTTGTGTTAGAACATTGTATGTTTTGGAAGTTGTGTCTATTTTCTTTTAAAACAATTGAAGTTTCATATGAAGTTGCTTTTCTGGATATTTTCCTTGGTTCTGTTGCCACCATCTTCTTTTATTTCAATGACCCCATCCTCCAAATCAAATAGGAAATTTTCTTGGAAGTTCTTGCTCCTATGGACATCTGTATCCTAATGCATAAGACTCTTCTATTGTTAAAGAAGGGTATTTACCACCCTGGCACCCTCTAGAGTGCCCCTACCGCACCGATCCCACAGTCATATTGGGGGAGGCTAATCGCACATGCATCCCATTGATAGAAGGGCGGTGCCCGGACTTGAACTTTGGACCTCACACTTTTCTATTGTTTACCAGCTGTTTGATTGTGTTTTCGCAGGTAGAAGCTTTAGATCCATTGCTGCAACGTGCTATTTCTGCTGCGTCCACCATTCCAGATCTTCGAGGTAAAAGTATCTATTATAATGCTTTATATGTTCAGATGATATGATTGCCAGTCAAGTAGCACTTATTGAGGAAAAGGTCAGGAATTGGAACATAAGAAGTCGTTATTGCTATCATTCTTCTTTAATGCATTAGAATTTTGTTTTTAAATGAAGTGTTTTAACAATCTATGCAAAAAGGCATGACATATAACTTCGAGGTGATCATCATCTCACTTAATATTTTTTAATTATTTTGATGCAACTAAATTCCATTTCTAGTAAACGTTTCTTATATCTCATGACTAAAATATTTGGTTGTCCCTCTTATTTGTTCTTTTAATAGTTTTTGTTATTTCCGTTCAATATTATTACTGAATTCTTGATAGTATAGGCCTATGCATTAATTGCACCAAGTGCTGTTGCTACTACTCATTTCTGATTAACAGAAATATTTTGAAATATAGATGCATTAGGTCCACTGTGGAGGAGGGTGGGAGGTATACATCCAATCTTAGCTGTGAAATATTGCTGACTAGTTTTTGCTTAATGATTCTTGGATGATACATTGTGTAATTAGCATCTTCATCTTGACGGATTTAAATGGTGGGTATGCCAGTATTGAAGTTGATATTTCTTACTGTTCTGTGAGAATTTGGCACCCACATAGCTGCATCTTTACTCCATGTGTTTCATGAATGACCATTCCATCTACTATTTGTGATAGGCCACCCTAATTTCTTTCTTAAAAGCAATTCTAGCTAAAGGTATGGATCTGGGGACAATGCTGAATATTAGATAGGAAAACAAATGCCGAAGGATAGTTACTGTTTAATCGTCACAATTTCTTTTATGTGGCTTTTGAAGGTGTGCTTATTTCTAGATATTGTTAGTTAATTAATGATTTTCTTTCTAATAATCCAAAGTAGAGTTCTCTAATATAGGTTCTCTTTTAGATGTAATGTATTGTAATAATTTATTGTGTAATGGAGTACATAAATTCCCTCAATGAGTTGCATGGTATTGGAACCATTTTTGATGCCTAAATATTTGCTGCTGTTGCCAGAAATGTGCCGGAACCCTAGCCATAGTTGCCAAAAATATGTTGGAACCCTAGCAGCTGTTGCCGGAACCCTAGCCACAATCTTCGAAAATTATTTGGAACTTTAGTGGCTGTTGTGAAAACCTTAACCACCATTGCCGAAACCTGTTTGAAACCTAGCCTCAACGTCCGAGAAATCATACACTGCCAGCACCACCACCACCATTGCCTGACCAAGGCATCGCTGCTGCAACTATCGCCAGACCAAGCTTCGTTGCCGCTACCCAAATCGCTGCCGGAGTTGTTTGCTCAGAAGAAGCCTTTTCCGGCCCCACCTCAAGAGATCCAACCGTGAGTAGGTCCTTTCGTCGCCGTGTGCCGTTGCTTGTTTCATATTTGTATCACTAATACGATTGCCCATTTTTGTTCATGTTCTTGGTTCATCTGTTTGATGATATAATCGTCTTTGCTTCATGAATCCTTTTTTGAGTTAGCAATGTCGTCAACCTACCATTTGTATCTCGTTCCAGATTTCAATGTAAATTTACAATAGAAGTTGGGAGACAAAGTTCCAGATTTCCAGTGCAACAATTGGCCTTGAGTTGCCTCTAGTGAATTTACGCATTAGGGCTCTCCTCGATTCCCGATATTATCTACAAATACTATCTAGACAGCTCAAATATTTTACAATGACGATGTCTGTCGGTTCTAACTTCTAACATGAGTCTTCTAACTAGGTTCCATCTAGTTTTTGTGCTAGTGCAAAACAATCACGTACTTGGATTATTGATTTAGGAACCACCACATATCACATGATTGGGGACATGGTTCTAAAAATCGCTCGAGGTTTACACCTGAAGGGAGGCGATGGAAAATCGATGATGAGGCAACGCTTCTTGTGACATCAAGGTTTTTCTTGGCGAGTACTTTTGTTCTTCTGCTACTCGTTTTCTCTGGTTCTTATTTGTCTTTCTCATGTCTTTCTTTGATCCTCATTCGTCTTCTCCCATCTCCCATCTCCCATCTCCCATCTCCCATCTCCCACTTTGAAGAGCATTAGGTAATTAGTAAATTTTCTTATGTGTTTAGTTGTCCCACTTTGTATGGGTACATATGTATGTGTGTGTGTGTGCGCACCAAATATTGTTATTCCAACAATACCAATTGATATTCGATTCACAAAGATGTATGTTCAGCAACACCAAAGACAAGTGTCACCCGTCTAATCCCCATTGTTGGTAGTCCAGTTCTCTAACCTGTTGATAGAATATAATATGTTGATCTATCAATTATTGTAGACTTTTCTGATCTTCAAACAATGAACTTTTGGCCCAACAAGTAAGTCCAGACAACCTGCAAGATAGCCATCGACTCCCTCTTGTAATTTGGATTTTTATCGAGCCTAAACCTCTTAAGACTTTGCTAAAATAGGCTATGGGCCTGTCCGGCTACATAAGCACTGGTTCTAGAGTTCGAGTACATACTCCCATGGTTTTAAAAAACGTGTGAGGCACACGCCTCAAGGTGAGGCGTGCCCCAGACCGAATATGAGGCAGCGCCTCTCCAGGTATGATTAGGTCATACGCCTTCCTTGGCAGAGGCGAGGACCGAGTCGGTGAAGCGGTGAGACCGTATGAGGTGGTTGCCTTTGTTGACCGTTCCAATTTGTACGAATCCACACAAAAGCAAGGTGCTTTATTCTCTCATAACTGCAAAACCATCCACCGTCACTGTCCCGTTTTCTATATATTCTATATGAGCAGTACACACATATATAATATTATATATAATCCAAGTCTCCTACCATCCCAATTTGTATCCCACCGTCCCTCTTAGATCACTTGGTATATTTTCTATTATGAGAAATGTAAATATATATTATATAAAATTCAACTCTCCCGTTCGAATTTCAATGTGTATAATAAAATTCAACTCTCCGCTAATTCCACCACCCGAATTTATTCTTTTGTAATAAGTCAGTTAGAGGCCTTGTCATCTGCACATACCTTGCAACAAATTTCCGGTAATAACCGCTAGCCCCAGAAATCCATGCTTTTTCACAATTTTTTTGGGTCTTGGTGCTCCAACATTGACTGGACTTTTGACTCGTCCATTTCCACCCCATTTTTCAAAATTATATGCCCCAAATACATAGATCGTTTTCGTCCAAATTCACACTTTTTCTGGTTTGCATAGAGTTGGTGTTGTTGTAACATGCAAAACACCTGCTCAAAGTGTAAGGTATGCTCTTCCAAGTTGCAGCTATAAACTAGTATATTGTTGAAAAACAGTATTACAGACTACCTCAAGATATCCTTGAACACCTCGTTCATTAACCCTTGAAAGATTGAAGGCGCTTTGGCCAATCCGAATGGCATAACAAGGAATTTGTAATGGCCCTCGTGGGTTTCAAACACCGTTTTTGCAACATCTTTTCTCATGTGAATCTGATGATATATAGACTTTAAATCTAATTTGGAAAACACCCGCGCTCCAAATAGCTCGTTCAACAACTCATCACTAACCGGAATTGGAAACTTATAGAATTGTGTTTTTATTCAAGGGAAAATCACATCAAAATGGAATCAACTTTGTCCTGCCTCATATTTTGGGGAACCAACTTCTAAAATTATCACATAAGGGCCTCAAACAAACTTTTCATTTATTTAAGGGTTTGGTTGACTGACCTGCTAATAATGACACCGCCTAAGTATACGCCAACTAATATTCCATGTCATATTTAAAATAAAAAATAAATATGAAAATATGACATGGCGTCAATAATTATGACATGTCACTTTTTTCTTATATTTGATAATTAAAATTCCACATTGTATCAAAGATAATAAATAATAAAAAAAATTCATTTCTTACATATTTGTAATTCAATAAAAAATTAACAGACTCAAAATCCATATTAATATACATGTTTTTAAGATATTGTAGGATTCTTTATAATATAACTTAAAAAATAAAAACTAAATAAATAAAAATCAAAAACAAAACAAAACAAACTAACCCAAATAAAAGAAACAAAACCCTACATTTCAAATTTCCAAATCAGCTCCCCTCCCTCAAAAACAGCCGCTTCCTCCTCCTCCTCCTTAGCCTCGTTAACTTCGGCAAGTTTGAATCTCTAGGGAGTCTGCAACTCCTGTCTTGCACCTCCATTGTCCCCTTCCCCTTCATCATCTCTGCAACTAAATCCAACCATTTCATTTCTCCTCCATTTTATTTCTTTCATGGCTCTAAGGCTTTTCTTGGTGTAAATATTTGGTTTTTCTATGTGGTTTTGAGGCTTATCAATGGCATTCTTGTAGATTGCTAGAGAGAATATATCATTTCTGTAAACCTTTGATGGTTCTTGTGGGTTCTATTCTTTCTTTCTTGTGGGTTTTCATCTTTCTTACGGTTAAGGAATTGATGAAACCATAAATGGAGGAGTTTAGATGGCGAGTGATCTATGGTTGGAAAAGGTGAAAAAGGAGGAGAATGGTGGCCAGAGAACACTCGCCATGACGGAGGTGTAGGGGGAGGCTGGATTTCATTTTAGAAATGATGTGGATATTGTGTAATTTTTATTTTTTTTTCCCCATCATTTTTGAGGATACCAATTACTGCTGAACATGCCAACTAGGCCCTTAAATAAATGAAAAATTTGCTTCAGGCCCTTAAATGATAGTTTTAAAAGTTGATTCCCCAAATCAGGAATCAAGACAAAGCTGGTTCCATTTTGATGCAATTTTTCTTTTATTCAAAGCCTGATAGGCGACATAAAACCGCCAACTCCCATCTATTTTCTTTACTAACACAGGGCTTGAAAGTAGGCTGTGGCTAGGACGAATCATATTTGCCTGTAGCATCTTTTTAGTTTTTAATCAAACGTTCAATCTCGTCCTTCTGGTAATGAGGATAGCGGTAGGGTCGCATATTCCCATGCCCGCATCCCTCCTTAGTACAATCGCATGTTCATGCCCTCATACTGGTGGCAGCCTCTCAGGCATCTCGAACGTTGTCTTGTACTTTTGCAATACCCCTTCCAACTCCATAGAACAACCTATTGTTCCTTAGTAACCATCAGTCCAAGCTCAATTAAGATTTCTAGTTGTTCCTATTTAGATCTTTTCCCATAGTCTTCATTGACACAAGAGACCTGCCTGATGATGGATCCCTACCAACGTTATCGATTCCTCTCCCAATCTAGATTTCATAGTTTGTGCCCTCTTCTTCGTATGGGGTTGCCAAAGTCCCCAACCATTGTTCCTTGGATGACATCCAAGTTTCCTAGTTCAAATGGCAAGAATTCCTCCACCACTCAATCCTTTTGAACATTTAGCCAAACTACCCTGCACACCCTTTCTCCCTTACCAACGTCCCCATTGTAATCCCATGTGAAGCGGTTTAAATAACACAAACTTAAGTTTCTTTGACTAAGTTGTTAGGGATGAAATGGTGGGTCGCCTCAACTATCAATTAAAATCACGATATCTTGTTCCTAACTTTGCACATAAGTTTCATTGTTGTAGGGCTAGTCAAACTTACTATTGGATTGAATTGTACCTCCACGTTTTGATGGTTCCCTTCAGTTTCTGGTACTTCAGCTTCTAATAGTGGGTCCTCCTCTTCAGCCTCCTGTAGAACTATTAAGCTAACTTTCTTTTTAGAACACTTGTCTTGTAGCAAATTTCTCCTCACACCTATAGTATAAACCCTTGGCCTCTCTTTGGTGCAATTCCCCATCTGATAACCATCGAAACTTGTTATGCTCTTTGCTGTGGTGCCCCCATGCTTTTGCTTGAATTGGAGGATGGTGTTTTATCCTCTATTGCTCCCATCGTCGTCTTCTTTCAAGTGTTCTGGGCTTCTGGCCCTGATTTTTGTTAAAGACCTTGTTCTTTTCATCTATTTTGGACGCCATGTTCTTCGTTGCCCCTAAGGTGAAGATAACAACTGCAATTAGGCCCGTATCATAGGATCCAACCCGTTGATGAACTAGCAAATGAAAATTTCCTCTAAAATGCCATCCATAGGGGAAGCCAACGAAACAAATCCTTTTCAATATTCATTAACAGAACCCTTCTACTTTAGGGCTAGAAATTGCTCGAGAAGGGACCGTTTCGTTGTTGATTGAAATTGATTAAGCACCTTTAATTTCAAGTCCTACCGTGTAGTCGAACGCTTATTTTCCCATTATAAAATCCATTAACATGTCCCCTTCAAGGGCAATTATGGACACATCAATTTGTTCTATGAGAAATAGCACTCAACTTTGAGCATCCATCCATCCGGGTCACTTCGATCAAAAGTTGGAATCTCCAATTTCCGTCCCTTCTCCGCAAGAAACCGATGGCCCTCATAGGATTCTCCATTCTGATTGCCCGTTTCTTCTCTTCGAAACATACCGCCTTTTTCACTATTTTGTATCGTTGGGGATCTCGATATTCTCACTGATCCGCGTGCAGTTTAATCAAACACTTTAGTTGCTTCATTATCGTCTGAACGCCCTCTTTCAAGGAACCCACCGGTGATTGCACGTTGCCGTTGCTCTCCTTACTTTCATCCATCCTTGATGCAACATTGCATGACATTCTTCCTAGTTGGCTCACTCTGATACCAATTGATACACTAAGGTTGTGTTTGGTTTGTTGGAATCCTACGCAATTTAAAGGAAATGGGATGGTCAATTCCTTTGACCAAATTCCATTCATGCGTTTGGTTCATTCTTTGGGTTTTGGTAAGGAATTCGAATTCCACATATGGTGGAATACTGGAATGTAAATTCCTCAGGTTCTAGCAAGGAATTCCAATCCCTTTGTTCCATCTCTTAAGAAAAAACTATTATACTCTTATATTTACCTCATTCCATTTCATTCCACCACGATGGATGTCACCGCCACTGCCGCCGTCGTCACCGCCACCACCGCTGTCCCCGCCGCTGCTGCCATCACTATCGTTACCACTGTTGCCATCACCACCTCCACCATCGTTGTAGCACCACCACCACAACCACCACTGCTACCACCACTGCCACTACCATCAACACCACTACCGCCTCCACCCCACCACCACTATTATATTCGACGAACCAAATAGACAAATTCAAATTCTTTGACATATTCCATTATGATTCTTGCCAACCAAACGCATGGTCAAACATGATTAATTTGCATTCGAATTCCTTCAGATTCCAATTCCTTTGAAATACTCCAATTCCGTCAAATTCCATTATGTGAACCAAATGCCTCCTAAGGAAATTAGTTGAACCCTATTTGTAGTAGGAAGCTTTCGGTTGATTGTAATAAGAAACGAACAGAAGTACCAAATATAATCCAGCAATTAGAGAAGCTGGTGTCTCCACCGGCTCTCACCACAAAATTGGTTATAATCGAGATGCCAACTCACATGGCACTTAACAATTATTTACACACTCTTTCTCTCTCTCTATCCCTTTTACACTCTAGTGTGTAACAATATCGTAGACAAACAGAAAACTGTGCTATCCCCAAAATACCCTTCGTACCCATCATGATTTACCAAAGTAGCCTATTTGTGGTTTCTCCTCATGTAAGTGAACCTCATTGCTGGCTTATCATAATCTAAAGTAGATATATATATATATATATATATATATATATATATATAGGTTATCATAAATATGATATATTGCAATCATTTATCATGGAATGCAAGACATAATCCCCTCGAGTTGTTACATTTGCAATAAGCAAATTTAAATAGGAAGGCAAATGAATACTAACAAGTCATCTGAATGTGAACTCCTCTACAATATTTTGATTTATCTCTGCCCTAGAATAAGTCAATCATTTTCGAAGTACCCAGATCTTGTGCTACTTGGATCAGATTGGGTAGATCATGTTTTATTGATACCTTGCTTCTACCGAGTATTTATAATTAACTTCAGCTTTCAAGCGTTTTCTGTTTTGCGTTTTCTACATTTTTGGGTTTATTTGTCTTCTGATTAATATCTGTGGCATCTTGTTGTTCTCTTTCCATAATGTTTTATCTTATGCTCTTCTGGTTAAATGTGTTAAATGTTTTGTTTTCTATTATTCCTCAGACCGTTACGACTTGATGCCTGATAGCATTGAATCAAAGCTTCTGCCTTTTCAGCGAGAGGGTGTTCGGTATGTGATTATTTTGACAAAGATGTGCTTTATATGATAAGGCTTGTGTCATTTAATGAATTCATCATCCGTTTGTTTCAGCCCAAATTGTTTTCCTTATTGCCACTCTCAAATGTTTCATGTTATTTCACACAGGTTTGTGTTGCAGCATGGAGGGCGTGTCCTCCTGGCTGATGAAATGGGTCTCGGAAAGACTCTTCAGGTAACGTAGAGAAGCTCTTTTTTCTTTACTCAGAATTATCTGTAAGATCTGTAGCTTTTACAGTTTTTATTGGAAGGTTGGGGGAGTAGTGTGATGCTGTTTGACCATTTGAAATTAGTTTTCCTTTTCATCTAGCAAGATTAAAGTTATATATGTTATTTGAGTGAATTATGCTCAACTCATAGGAAATAATGCTAGATTTGCAAGAAAGAACAATGAAACCTATTCCCAGGAAACAAATAATTGTAGCAAAAAATAATGAGTTTTTCCTGAGGAGTTATTTGACAGCCAAATTATTCCTACTCATATATAGTTGAATGAAACAAGACCAAAAAATGACTTGTATAATTGTTTCCACTTTAAGCAGAGTGGAATGAAATCTTAAAGCAATATGTAATTTTTGATCTTGCTCATGATTTTCCGATTTTTAGAACTTATGATTTGGGATATTCTCAATTAAGCAATGGCACATCTCTGTATTGTTGTCTCTAATGATGTTCTTCCAGGAAAACGCTCTCTTTTCTGCTTTCCTATATTAACTCTCTGTTTATACATGTTTTCACTGTTTTTCTAAGTTCTCCAGTTTTCTTCTCAGATAATAGGCATGAACTTTTCTGTTCTTTCATTCTTTAGCAAATAGCATTTATAAATTCAAGAATTTACTCATCCTTCTCCCTCTTATGCATCTGCTCATGTTGTTTCTTCTATCCGTATCATTTTCATATTATTTAATGTCATTCATTTTACATCAGATTCTCTGTAGAAGTTTGTTCATTATTGTTGATATCTTATTTTTCACACTGCATATCTAAGCTCATTGCTGCAATTTTTATGGATAAATGTGGTAGCCCAAAGGCTTACACTCTCCATTTAGCCCCTACGTTCCTGTTCTGTAATTCAATACTAAGGCCTTTCAACTAGATATGTTAGGTAGGTAATATGTTATTCATGTTCCTTCTTTGATGGAGACATTCAAGTGCTGGATGATCTGAGGATCTCTAGAATGTTTCTGTGTTGAGAAAATACTGTAGATGGACAGACTTTTAGTAGATGAATGACGAAATATTTTACATCTTTATGTTGCAACCAGGTAATGTTCTTTAACTTTTTGCAGGCTATTGCTGTAGCCTCTTGTGTTCGTGACTCATGGCCTGTTCTTGTTCTTACTCCGTCTTCATTGCGGCTCCAATGGGCTTCAGTCAGTTTTTTCTTTAAGTCTTGTTTCCTGAGAATGTGAAGAGTATGCTCATCATGCACTTACAAGTTATAGTTCACGCTTTACACAGATGATTCAGCAGTGGCTAGGCATATCTTCGTCAGATATACTTGTATGATATTTTTATTTTACTTAGTCCTGCTTTTTTCATTCTACATTTATGTGAAATGTTAACATGTCACCCTGTTTACTATTAACCAAGGCCTAATGCTATTACTTTGCATTTGAGTTTCTCCCTAAGTTTGATTTACATAGCTGGTCAAATATCAGTTTATCAAGTTTGGTTGGGTATATAGGAGAGGAGAGAACACACGGTTTAATTTGTAGAGCCTTGCTTGGTATGAACACTGAATGGAAATTATGCTGCTGCTTTTGATCTACTTATAGAAACCTTAAATCTGGTTCTCTCTTTATTGTCTTCTCCCTTTTTTTTTCCACCAAGAACGTTTTATAAAACTTTTTGACTCCCGAATCTGGAGTTGGCCATGGAGGAAAATCTAGGGGTCTATTGGCCTTCTCTCTCACCGATTGCTGTCTGTTCTGGACTTAATTGTTCTTATCTCGGGAAGGAAGAGAATATCATTGCCTGTCAATTAGTCGATCACAACTAAAAATAGTGGTCATTCTGAGCGACTTGGGTAACCCTTCCATAAGCATTGTAATGGCATCCCATATTTGTAAGGGTAAGGTGAAAGGTTGTAATTGCCCAACTGGAGAATCTGACAAATTCTTATTCTGTTGACAAACACGGCAACGTTTGACCATCTCAGAGATGTCTTTCTGCATGCCAACCCAAAATAATTCAGAAGTAATGCGTTCTCTTTATCGGTGTCCTCCCACTATGAAATTCTTCAAAGATGATGGGTAATACTGATGAAGTACTTGATAAAACCACCTTTCCTTTATATAATATTAAGCTCTGTTACATACTGCATACTGAAACCCGGTGGGCGTCCGAGTGGAGCTCGATATCTTTCATAATCTTTGCTAGAAACAGGTCATTCATGACTTCCAGTTTTGATTACTTCTCATTGATGCTAATGAGGCCCGGCAAGGTGCATTCAATATTTAGAAGTTCACGTGACAAGGCATTGGCAGCTTTGTTGTTGTTGCTGCTTGTATGGTAAACAATGTGGAATTTGTCGCCCAAAAGTTTACCGATCTACTTTTGATGCTCGGGTTCAATTGTCTGTTGTTTCAATAAGAATTGTGAACTTTGTTGATCGGTTCTCACAGTGAATTTGCGCCCTAGTAAATAAGCTCACAATTATCGTACAACTTTGACTAATCGTCATCAACTTTTTCTTGTATACTTACTTCAATCGAGCCTGCTATTCCAACACTTGATTGAAATAGGCAATTGGGTGTTCCTGTTGCATGGGCTTTCCCCCAATCGGTAAACGGAGGCGATAGTCTCAATAACGAAGTCCTGAGAAAAATCAAGTAATCGTAAAATGGGCGTTGTGGACAACACTTGCTTTAATTCGTGAAAGACTCTATCCTCTTCTTCATTCCAAGTGAACTGGTTACGTTTGAGCACGTATGTTAGTGGCCCTGGTTTTATATATACCCTAAGCTTGCTACAAATTAATGGTAGTATCCAGAGAGGCCCAAGAACCTCCGTAATTTTGTGGCACTACTCGGTGTTGGCCAATCGAGCATGGACTGAACCTTAGTTGGATCCATCTCCACCCTTGCCTTGGAAATAACTTGTCCAAAGTACACCAACTTTGGTTGCCAAAATTCGCATAAATCCGATAGCCGATGCTCTTTCAATATTCCAAAGACCTTCTCCAAGTGGACCACATGCTTCATAGAACGGCTCTAGACCAAAATATCGTCAAAAAAACGAGTACAAATTTTTTAGGGTAAGCATTGTACCTTGTTCATCAACCCTTAGAATGTTGACGGAACGTTGGAAAAACTAAAAGCCACTCTGAAAAATTCGTAACTGCCTTTGTGAGTTCGGAACACCATCTTGGCTATGTCTTCCTTTCGCATATGAATCTGATAATAACCTGTTTTTGAATCAAGCTTCGAGAAGATGCACTCTCCGAACAACTCATCTAACACTTCATCAATCATGAGCATAGGGAATTTATCCGGCACGGTACTCTTGTTTAGTGTGCGTTAACATACAAACCACCGGCTCATGTCTTTTTTCTTCACTAGGAGCATCAAGCTGGAAAAGGGACTTGACTTGGTTGAATAATCCCTGCCAAAAGCATCTCTTTGATCATTCTTTCTATTTCGTCATTCTGGTAATGCTAGTAGTGTTAGGGATGTACATTGATCGGACCACTCCCGTCCTTGAGGACTATAACATGCTCTTGACCTTTTCTGAGGGACAATTCTTCTGGGCAGACTGAAGACATTCATCTTGCGGTCAAGAACAACCTTCAACTCCTTCGAGCACTGCCCTCTCTGTCCGTTAGTGTTTAGCAACTCCAGTTCCACAAATAATACTTGGTTTTCCTTCTTCTTGAATTCTACCCATTGTCTTTATGGAAACTAAGGATCTTCCCAAGGATGGTCACCTGTTAGCGTGATCGATTCGTTGGCCAAACGAAATTTCATCTTCGAGTCTTCAATTGCTGTAAGTGGCTCCTAAGGTTTCTAACCACAAAACTCCCAATATCACATAGGAGTTAGGCAAGTCTAGAGGAAGGAATTCTTTGACTACTGCAATGCCTTGAATGCATAGCTTAACCCCTCTACGCGCATTTTCACTCTTGACAGACTTCCCTGTGTCCACCGTAATGCCGTATGAAGCTGTTTCCACGGCCGGCAATTGTAACTGTTGGACCAGGTAGTTCGAGATGAAGTTTTGGGTAGCTCTGCTGTAGATTAACACAATAATAACATTCTGATTGCCAACAAGTCCCACCATTTTCATCGTCTCCGGATTTGCCAGTCCCACCACAGAGTTTAGATGTATGTCAATCTGTTTGCTCCGTTCTATCGTTTAGATGTATTGACAGATGTATGTCAATATGTCGCTCCGGTTCACTTGCGGTTCTATCTCGGGTATGAGATCATTTGTTTCCTCATCGTCATGTAAAACCATGATGTTCACCTCCTTTTCAAGACATTGATGGCTGTGGGCAAGTTTCTCGTCATATCTGTACCATAGACCCTTGGCCCGCTTCTGTTGTTGGTCTGTAGCTTGACATCGGTCAACCATCGGAAATCGTGCCCCTCCCTCGAAGGAAACACCCCTTTACGGTGGTTGTTCGGTGGTTTCTGTCTCGAAATTGTCCCATTTAGTTTTTATATATAATTTGTAAAATATAATGTAAAATTTTTATTAATGAACTTGCTAATAAAATAAAACGTCATATTTTTAGATATTTAAACAAAATTGTACATTTTTAACTATAAAAATTAATCCTTTTTTTATTTATTATTAAGATCATAATGAGAAAAAGGTAAAAAACTATCGAAGCGTTGGTGAAGTTGTCCCACATTGGAAGAAAGATAGTAAAGGAAGGGTGAAGATGTTCTATAAAGACAGAGGGACGTGAATGGCGTTTGTAACTTTGTCTTCTTAATAATGAAATTTGAGGGGCATCCCTGAAGTTTGGAATTTTTAAGAGTACACCTTAAAAGTTTTATACTTTATAAGAGTAGATCCTTGAACTTCATAAATTTCAACGGGTAAGCTTTGTTCGAGGTTCCAGTTCAAGCTTGATTTGAATTGGATTTTGGTTTCAAGCTTCAAAAGAGTTCGAGTTTAGAAAATTGCTATCGAGTTCAATTCGAGTTTGGATTTTAACTATTCGCGAGTTTTTGAGTCGAGTTCAAGCCTGAAAAATTGCTATCAAGTTCGAGTCAACTATACTAGTACCCGAGCTCCCCTCACATCATTTACACCCTTAGTATGAAGGGAATAGGTTAAACATACAAGGAAAAACACATAACACGGTACTGGCACTACTAGTACATGAAGAAAAGCTAAGACTAGTATACAGCAAAGAAGTCGCACGATAGACGAGAAAGGTAGGAAAAACTAAGAAAATTCTCTATCAAACGTAAGGCCTCGGTAACCGAACTGCCAATGTGTTACTCCTGTCCTTATATCACCCTCTATCTTCTTCTCCAAACTCCCCTCCTCCCATCCATGCAAGGAAATAGGTTAAACAAACAAGGAAAAACACATAACGCAGTACTGACAACTACTAGTATAGAAGGAAAAGCTAAGACTAGTGTATAGCAAACAGGTCACATATATAGTAGGCAAGAAAGGTAGGAAAAACCAAGAAAATGCTCTATCGAATGTAAGGCCGGGAAAGCTAACCAGTAACCACCAACGTGCCCTCTCCTTTGTTGTCTCACTCTATATCTTTTTCTCCAAACTCCCCTCTTCCTGTCCATACTACAAATCTCTACTCGTTTGCTACACAAAATCCTGCATCTCCTATAAAAAGGGTACATGCATAGGTCTAATTACTAACCAATAAAGACACCATTGCTTTCCTATTCTCTTTCCACCCTCTGACAGGGATTTGTATGTTTTTTGCAACACCAATGGTATTTCTGTGGTTGGAATTCACGGAGGATGACTCCATGTCAATCGTCTTGAGACGCAAGATTTAGGCTTCATTCTGGGTGATAAGGTTGTGGGTCATTGATGCATCGACCATGATTTTGCATATGGCATTGAATTCTACACATGCACATGAGACCCCTACTGCCTTTCTCTCATTTTGAGCGGAAACAGTTGCATACAGCCAATTTATCTCTATTGTGTATCTTGTCACTCCTATTCATCAAAGCAAATGACCATGGCCCCTAATATTTTATTCGTGAGACTATGTTTTTGCCAATGGTATGCAACACACATAGCGATTTGGAACAGGTTCCAGATGGGTCCACATCATTGGAGATTGTTTTTTGTGCCACATATAGTAAGCATTATATCAGTGTCTTAAGGTTGCTATGTGGTATAACCTGAACCTCAAGTAAACTGTGGATCTAAGCTTTGATATCAGGTTGAGATTTGATTTGGAAGGAAAACCTAGTCACCGAGGATAGAACCAAGAATGTATAGTACATTACATGGATCCTTTGAACTGTTAGATGAGACATAAAAATGTCAGATGCTACTATTTGTAACAATTATTATGTGTTTCCTTTGCAGGTGGTTTTGTCTAATGCCAGTGGGTCAAACAAGGGTGGATTCACTATAATGCGACCGAACACCAAGGGAAGTATACGTCTTGATGGGGTATTCAACATTGTATCGTATGATGCCGTGGATAAACTTCAAGGCGTTCTAATGAATTCAGATTTTAAGGTAAGCTCCGCTGATGCCCAATAGAAGTTTACTGACATGGCTGATGTACCTTCAACATGTAGTTTACTTTTTACTCTATTTAGGTTGTGGTTGCAGATGAATCCTTCTTCAAGAACACCAAAATATAAAAATATTTAAGAAAATGTGAAACATGGGCATGTGCGTACTGTTGCATTGTTTAGGATTTTGTCCTTCACCAACTTTTGTTGATGAAGAATTCTTTTTTTAGGTTGTGATTGCAGATGAGTCACACTACTTAAAGAATGCCCAAGCAAAGCGAACTAGTGCGTCCCTTCCCATATTACAGGTTTCTCTCTCTCTCTCACATCTCTCTCACTTCCTCTTTCTTTTTCTCTCTCCCTCTCTCCCACTAGCACATGCACACATAGAGCTATGAACAAATCTTGGACTAGAATGTTATCTAGAACATAAAACAGATAATATTATAATAGTTTATTTCAGATAGGGCCATTACTTATTAGTCATTTAATCATCCAAATTTACATGTGCTTCTTGAATATCTATGCATGTATTTTGTTGAGGGGATTACTAATTTATTTATACACTATACAAGCCTATAACTAACATGATGAATACATCCTTATGACAATCACAAATACATTTGATACATTTACTGATATACTTCATGTTCAGAAATACATCATATACTTGTACATCCTTATCAAGGATACGTATCCCAACACTCCAAAATGGAGCATAATATTGATTATGCCCAGCTTGCTGCAAATAAATTCACTTAGAGTCTTTTGAAGAGGCTTGGTGAAGATTTTAGCTGACTGATACTAATCCATTGGAGAGAGTCAGGGTTGAGGAGGATAGGAGGCGAGGCGGGCAGAGTAGAACATGGAATAAACAATAAAGGCTAGTATTAAATAGGAGCTTTTGGAGGCGATGGATTAGAGTAGTTGATTGGTCGGGTCGGGTGGGTTTAGGATTTATTGGTTGGGTTTAGGATTTATTGGTTGGGTTGGGTGGAGGAGGGGTTTGGGAGGGTATAGGGTGGGTTGGGGTATTTTTTAGATATTAATAGGGAGCCTTTTTTCGTTTTTGTTTGTGGGGGCTTTCTAACTAGAGAGGCTCTTTGTTTTACTTTACATTTGTGTGAAGAAATCTTTTTGGGGAACTTTATGCAAGCCGGGGATCTTTTCGGAAACATCTCCTTCGTTTCTTGATACAAAGGTAAGGTATGCATACATCATACCCCCCCCCCCCCCCCCCCCCCCTTCCAGACTCTACAGACTCTCTTTTTGGTCCAACTACTTTAGGTTCCTTTTCAATGGCTTCTCTGGGCTTTAAAGCTTTTGAAGTGGCTATGGCTGCAAACTTCTTTTTGGCAACCAATCCCAATGAAAAGACAGAATAAAGGGCATTGCAAAGTAACACTACTCTAAGACGCCTTAATAAACCCTTTCTTGTCCTTGAGAACCATCAGAATGGTGGACTTGTTTTTTGAACACTCTTGGTCAGCTCATAACATATTGAGCAATTCACCTAAGGACCTCTCAAGACCATGCATGTTGTAGTTCTTGTTGGCTTGGTTTGGTGAGGCTATACAAATGGGAATTGACGACAACTTGACTATTGGAGAGGTCTCTTCATAATCAACCCTGTAGGTCTGGGATAGTTCTTAGGTAGCGTTTGATATGCAGACAGGACTGAACATGACTAAACTAATTGTCTGTCATGTGTTTGGTACAACTAGAACAGGACCGGACAAAACTGTTACGATGACCAAATTACGCCTAAAATAGTGTTTACTATATTTTTTATGATAAAATCAAGTAAACATGTAAATAACTTTATTTATAAAAATTGAGTAAATGACGATTTTTTCCCTTTAAAATTATATAAATTTTTACAATGAATTACAAATCTGTAAGAATTGCTCTCCTTTTATTTGTAAAATGCACAAACACTTGGTTCATTGTGGTTGGTACCTAGAGGGCAGATGACAACTGTAATCAGTACATCCAAACTCTTATACTAAGATCCATTGTGTGTTTTATAAGCCCAACAAGTAACTTAAATGTCCAAAATCCTTGATCTTCCACATAACCAGCTCAAAACAAGAAAGGCAGAGGATCAATGAGATAATTTTCTGGATTTTATTAATATGCACAGCCACAATTAACTCAGGGGCGTGCCTACTAAGATAGTAGGGGGTGCACGGGCTACCTTTGAATCGTCTGGTCTCAATGGGTGCCTGAAATGTTTTAAAACCAAACTTATAACAGAAATCGGAAATGGTTGAGAGGTCGCTGGCTCGACTCTTGATTTTAGTAAATATCCAGTTTTTCATTAAATTTTTGGTTTCTAATACTTATTTTGAGAAAAAAGTGAAGGAAAGCAACAGGGAGAAATGTGGAACCTGCGACCTTCCTAGCGAAGGATAGCATTGAAAATTCTCTATGAAAAAAATGAAGGAAAGCTACAGGGAGAAATGTGGAACCTGCAACCTTTCTAGCGAAGGATAGCATTGAAAGTTCCCTACAGCTTTTTTTTTTGATTGACCTGGATATCCAACACGCTATGCGAGCCGACTAATCCCAGGGTGACTACCTGCTTTGCAGATAGCCCGGAGTCACCTCATTTGAACCTCCGTGGCCACAAGGGGATTTTATTCCTCCTTGGATTTGAACCTGGGACCTCCAGGTACTTTTGATCTCTGGAGCCAAACTCAAACCAATCAGGCACCACCCTTTTGGTTAATTCTCTACAGCTTTTACCCTTATGATCTAATGGTGGCACCACTTGAAAGCTTTTATGGGTCTGCCTCTGAACTCTTATATGCTTATGTACTCTACCGAATAGAGTAACGAAAAGTACAAAATTACTTACCAAGTTGCTGCAACAAAGCATGTTGTCTTGGAAAATTAACGAACTTATCTGGCTATTAGTTAACTGAATTGTATTGTCCAACAAATTGCGTCTAAACATCAACATTTGGTATCAGGTTATGACTTGAGCGAACTCTAACGACATATTAACAAATCAAAGTGTTATATCCCAGGGATTGTCGTCAAATAAGTCAAAAAAGTGCAGGCTGGGTTAGGAAGTCAAATAGAGCAGAGTATTAAGTTGGTTAAAAGCATCTAGTATAAATAAGGGGCTGGAATGTGAGGGGCGATCGATCAGTTCTGTGTGTTCATTTTGGGCGAAAGCCGAGTGAGAGAACTCATCCCCTCGAAAGCCGAGAACACCTACTGTAATCATTTAGTTTCGTCTGTCAAAGTTCTTCTGTACCACTCATTTTGAGTATCAAATAGGAACTGATTTACTTCTATTGGTCCAGGTTTTTATGAATTGATACTAAACTTCGTCTGTGTGTGCATCAATTGGATCGATGTATTCTTGGTGTACATCACAAAGCAGTGCACCACACAAGTTACACATACAATGGAAGTGTCAAGCATAGATGTGCTGTTCCTTCGTTTCTCTCACTCACCACTCTATTGCTGACATGTTTGTTATTTTCACAAATGTAGAAAGCTCATTACACAATGTTGCTTACTGGAACTCCAGCTTTATCTCGACCTATTGAGCTGTATAAACAGGTAGTCCATTTTTTAATTAATTTATAGTGTATATATTTCCTTTGGATTAAACCTTCGCATGTTTTGACAGCTGGAAGCGTTGTATCCCAATGTATACAAGAGCGTTCATGAATATGGAAACCGATATTGCCAGGGTGTAAGATGGAGCTTTTTGCTAGCAGCTTCCATTTTCCTTGCAGCTTTTTTTGAAAAGTTATTGATGGAAGTTCATTCTGATACTTGTAATGTTTTCCAGGGTGTTTTTGGAATGTATCAAGGTGCAAGTAATCATGAAGAACTGCACAATTTAATGAAAGCAACTGTGATGATTCGCAGACTCAAAAAGGATGTCCTCACTGAGCTTCCTGTTAAGCGAAGGCAACAGGTACATGATTATTCAACCGTGTTCATACTTTGAGCATGCCGGTCATAATTTTTTAGCTCAAGCAATTAATTTACAGATCTTTATATGCCTTTTCTCTTGTATTCCGATGCCTGAGATATTATAAAGGAGTGATTTGTACCAACAATTGCTCTGAACTGTCCATTTGTGGATGGCATAATTCAATTGAACTTGCTTCTAGAACTTCTAATTCGTGAAAGGAACTATTAGGCAAGAACATGCATTTGGGGATTGGGTTATAGAACTACAGCCTCTTTTTAAGTCTATACTATTGAACCCTGTAGTTACATCTTGTGATTATGATCTAGTGTAGTTATGGTCATATTTTTTCTATTCTTTTTTTCCCCAGGTTTTCTTGGACCTGGCAGACAAGGACATGAAGCAAATCAATGCTTTATTTCGTGAGGTATTTTAAATTTTGGGAGTCTTTTTTTGTTGAATGCATGGGTTCCCTCTTGTTTGGAAATCAGTGGTGTGCTTTTAGACATGATGTACCTTTTACTATTTCTATAATGACATGCTTATGTGATGTCTTTTTTGGCATCTAGATTCTATGCATTGTACTATGTTCATCAATTTCACAATGTTCCTCCATTTTCATTTCAAATTTGGAAATCCTCATCTCTCTTTGAGAATGGAGTGATAATAATCCACAGATTTATAACTTTTTCCATCATACAGTTGGAGTTAGTTAAAAGCAAAATCAAGGCCAGCAATTCCAAAGAGGAAGCCGAGTCACTAAAGTTTACAGAGAAGAATATCATAAATAAGGTACACAGGCAATCTTTAAGCTTGTTTTTAGCATCTCTCTTTCTCTGTATATCTGTACATCATTTATGCTTGAAGTCAACGGAGACATATGGAATGCATACAAAGGTGCATCAAGGATGAGAATTAAAGACCACATATTCCTGAAAAACAGATTTTTAGGTGTAAGAAAGGTGGGGGGGGGGGGTGTTGTTGTAGGAGAGGTTTCTGAAGTCAGGAAGCCTGAAGATGGAGTTAGAATCTAACGAAGTTTGGAGCTATTTTGTACTTTAGACATCTTTGAGGCATGAAAATGCCCAAGGTTCCAAAGAATGGTACTGTGATGATACTCTATAAAGATAAGGAAGTATTTCGGGGTTGCACAAATTTATGGCAATCAAGTAAAGGTTCTAAAGCAAAGGTACAGTACAACCTGTTATTGCTCTCTAAACCGAAGGTTGACCAAACTTGACATCAGATTTTCTTATGACTATATGATGTCAAGTTCTAGTCAAGTAAAGGTGCTAAAGCTAAGTTACGACCTGTTAGTGCTTATATTTATTACTCTCTCTAGTTAGGTCTAGACTAAAATCTAAGATGCGTGATTCTAAGCAAGACCCTTACGTTAAAATCAGATTGCCTGCCGTAAGTGGAAGTTCTTTACTTTGAGTGGCCAATCACAGGAGTTAAGCAATAACAATAACACCCAAGTGTTATCTACTACCTCTTAGGTTAACTCACACCCACACCCAAAGGGATGCTTAGCTCATACTAAAAGTAAATAACAAACAAGAATGCAAGAAATAAAAACATGTTTTTTCTTCTTTGAAGTATATAAAATTTATATATGGAAAATAGAACAAATAAACTCACACACCATCCTCACCTTTTGTGAGGTTTGAACCCCTGACCTCACCTCCTAGGAGGCTAAAGACTCGCATACCACTAGGCCAAACTTGGAATTAGACGATAGTGGCCAATGGTCACAGTGGACAACATATAAGATTATAAAATGAAATTACAATAATAAAGATTGTTAAACTTGTACAAAATAATACAGAGAACATTAGAGCTACTATTTTATTTCTTCAGCGATCCTTCTCTTAGAATGAGCAAATGCTTGCTTTTACTTGCACCTTTGAGGAGAGAAGTCATGGATAGGGACAAGAGCGAAAAGGACTTTACCGGGCTTGTCCTAAGCCTATCTTCTTGCATGTGTGTGGCTTTTCTCTTCTTGGCTTCATACTCCCAATAACTCCATAGGTGACCTCCTCTTAGTTTGAGACTGCAGGTAGTTATTTTGGCAAAAATACCCTGCAAAATGCGATTTGTCTTGGGCCTCCCATTATAGCACATCCAATATTAGGCACTTTCGTAGAAAGGGCATCCGAAACTTGATTGCTACTTCCCACTTTTCCAAAACTTTATGTCACCCTACGTTGATAATCAAGTTCGATGACCCTCTGTTCTAGTGAGAATCTAGGGGATTGTTGATCACTAGATCAGTCACCAAAAACCTTTGTCCCAATAGTCAAATCCGATAATTTACGATCAATTCATGCTTGAATATGAATAACTCCCTTTGGCGGGGTAGCAAATCACAATATAAAAACTAAAATAAAATGATTTTTCATTATTGCAATTGAAAAAAGGATAGGAGAAATAATTAGGGAGTCAAATGGTCTTAATCTTAATTGATAAAATCCGGAGTCTAAATAAATTATGGCTTTTGATAATCTTATAAATAGTAAGGGGAAGCCCTGGATCTACCTGGCCAAGGTGTCAATGTCAAGTGGTTATCCGAAGTTTGTAAGCTGTGTTCAGGGGGGGAGTTATTGCCTATCGTTGGCCAAGGTTGCCTGTCCTCACGACAAGCCACTAGTTTCTTCTTGTATACAGACTTTTGATGTGAGTTTTCCCAACACTTGGTTGAGATAAACCACTCGTTGTTCTTCTTGCATAAGAACTACTTGTGCACTGATGCATCCGCCTTGAGTGTCGTTGTCAAAGCCACTTTCATATCTTGGAAAGCGTTGTTGGGCGTTTTGCTCCATAAGAATTGGTTCTTCTGTAACAAATACGTCAAAGAGGTTGCTGTTTTCCCATATCCCCCTACAAATTATCTTGTAATACCCGGACAAGCTGAGAAATCCCTTTAACTCTGTTATAGTTTGCGTAATAGTGATTCCGACGTCGCCTAAACTTTGCTTGGATCAATTTTGACTCCCTTTTTCCAATACCACATGTCCTCAGTAGACCAACCTTTTTCTCCCAAATTCACACTTGTTTTTTGCACACAACTAATGTTTCAACCACAACTAAACACTTGTTTCATGTGTTCAACGCGTTCTTTCATCCCCTTGCTTTACACTAATTGATGTAGAATCTCTAGCTTTCATAGTACTTCTTTACCAACACTTTGGACATGAAAATAGGTTGTTGCTTTTTTTCTTTCATAGAATGCGGATACCTGATGTTCACGGAACCACTGCCCTCCTTCAACATGATTTGGTGTTCCTTGCTTTTCTTTCTTGGTAGGCCAATAGGGAGGGTAAATATCGCCTTAAAGCTTCCAAAACCAGAAACAGTTCTCTTGGACATGGTTCCTTTACTTGCTCAATCATGAACATCAACCCCAACTCCACCAAAAATTTCTTATTCCTCATGTTCCGGTCTTTTCTAGAGTTTTCATCATATTATGGTTCATCCTAAGTCCTAAATGGGGATCACCATCTAGAGTGATCGATTATTTGCCCTTCATGAACTTCATGATTTGTGTTTTATGGTTTGTATAAGTGGTGCCTGGACAGCCACTTAGAATAACATCAAATTTACCCAAGTCGATTGGTAAAAAAAATACCCCACTACGTTAATTCCCTGCAATAGTATCATATACCCCTTGCATATACCTCTCCATGATTGTTCCTTCAGTTTCCATAGTTATCCCGTAGCAACCGGTACCCATTATCTTCAAACCTGACCTGTGAACAAGCTCTTTTGCAATAAAATTGTGGGTTCCCCACTGCCAGTAAACACCACTATGGCCTAGTGGTCAATTGTTCAGCAATTGCATTCAATCCAAAATGATTTGACCAGTTGATTGATGCCTAACAATTGGTGCTTAAGACCATCAACGAATCAACTTTTTGACAGACGTCTTCTAAGTTCTTCAATGCTATGTGCGAAATTGCAATTTGAGGGATTAAACTTTGAAACGGCACCATTTTAGGTTTGTATATTTCAAATTAAGACAAATCTAAATATGTATTCGTTTCATGATCCAGTTTGGGACCAAATCAGAGATGAGAGTCTCTGTTTCAATAACTTCTAGTTTCTTTCAAATTCTTAACTAATTAAAAGAATTTGTCAAGCTTAATTTTATATCATTATCATCATATGATTTTTGTTGCTTTTGTAGGATATCATTATTATGTATTCAGACACAAATGACTCCGACCTTTGTGGTTGCAGAAAAGGAAAGAGTGGGTGAATTCATGTAATCTGTCATACAAAGGGCATCTTATTAGACTTTAATCACTGGTTTATTTTAGTTTATATTAAGCGCAAGATTGTGATTAGTTGTTTCCCACCTTGACGATGACAGAATAGTACAAAATACAAAGAAGATGAAATACCCAAAACAAAGTAAAATAGACGAAGAAATCAGTACGATGGATTTGATGTTTACCTTCTTCTCCAATGTCCTCTGGTTCCTTTTCCCTTTTGCTCTCCAAGTCTTGCACTACAAGTATGTTCACTTCCTTTTTACATTTGTGACTTGGACTAAATCTTCATTGCTGCAATTCACCATCCAATAATCAACAATATTCAAACCTCTTGCCAGTACTTCCTCTTGATTTGATCGTGGATGTCGTTTGCCGTTTTGATTCCGTCACTCCTGCTGTGAATTTCTTCCAGCACCAAAGGTGGCTGTCTAATCTGGTTCATTACTCGGTTTTTCTTCTCTATTTTAGATGCCGGTTCTATCACTTCACCTAACCCAATTGGCAATAATAAGCTCAGTCATGCCCTTACGACCCGAAGGATCATTAATAAATAGACTCGAGAAAACCACTTCAGATATACCTTCTAATGATGCCACCACAGGCAAGAACTTTTTTTGATAATCATTGACAGTTTTGATTTGTCTTAATGCAAGGATTTGCTCATAGAGTGTACCTTCTGATATCGATTGAAATTCCCTTACAATCATTAGCTTCAGTTTCCTTTACCTTTCTAATCGGTCATCTCTTATTCTCTCACTGAAACCATTAGAGCAAGGACGGACCTACATTGATTGATATGGTGGCATGGGTCATCATTTCATGGTTCCATCGTAAGGGGCTGCCGCCCACTTCATTATCTTATTAATCTATAACATGCATCAAGTTGCAATGCCTCAACTTGCCAACTTGAAGAAAAAGGGGCTGCCGCCCACTTCATTATCTTATTAATCTTCGTACAACATGCATGGATACCACATGCATTCAATTGGCCAACTTGACAACATGCATGGAAAAGGGGCTCTCATCGTTTCTATCTATCTATAATTATATATAGACATATGCATATGAAGCTAGAAGTGTGTGTGGTTTTATAACACAACAACAAATAGGATTTCTTTCCTTTTAGTTTCCTCCTGTCAACTTTCTAACTATATGTGTGTGTATGTGTGTGTGTGTGTATGTATGTAGTTTTGTTTTGGGGAAACTATGGGTAGCTGATTTGTTGATCCAAGGATCTCGTAAACACGTTGTAATTGTTCCCGGTTGGTAGTATATCGAGCTCTCTCTCTCTTTGGTGGACTTACACTATCACACCAATTGTGGAACCACGTTATTTTGTGAACTTGTCATATATGTAGGATCTAACATATATTGTTATTATCTATATTTGGGGTTGTTTATTTCGATAGTCATTGTGCAACATCTTAGATCATTGTTATCCACATTTATTGTTGGGTTTGTTGTGTTCTTGGATTTCTATTTGTTTTGGGACCTTAGAAATCATTTGCTAGCATTTGTTATTATGGCCCACAGTTCCTAACAGAAGTTTACTGTCAATTGATAAACCCTAGAACAAATCGAACGGCTTAGAAGAAATCAGTGATTACATATAGGTTTCTTGGCTTTCGAGAGGCCGAGTTCTCTCCCACTACTTACACTCGAAGCAGACAGAAATTGATAGATGGCTCTTACATTCCCAAATCCCTATTTGTACTAAAGCTACGCACCAATTATTTCCCTTGCTTCATCTAGTTGTACTAATGCAGTAACCATTTGTGCCATCCTTCCATTCCCACCCTTTTTTACTTCCTAACCCAACCACCTTTTTGACCACTTGGCTTCCAACCAACCTAGGATAAATCAGTGAATGTCTTGATTTTAAATGAAACTCAAAGAAAATGAAGATAAATCCCAAATTTAATAGTTCATACATAGAATTGGACTTTATTGCAAGTCTTTATGTGTAACCTTTCCCTTTGCATTTTGCAAAGAGGTTGCTATGACTTTTTTTTTTTGGAAAGGTGTCGACTAAGCCTGGCAAATTGTGAATGCAAGAAATCAATCCTGATAAACTCAGTGGCCGCAATTATTGTGTACGCCTGGAATAGAACCATAGGCAGATGGGATATTCCACCACATGCTAAGGACCTCAACCACTATGCCACAATCCTTGTGGTTAAGGTTACTATGACTTTTTAGGTAGAGAAGTAACCATACCAGTCATGGACCATGAACTAGCAAACATTACTAAGGACCTAATTACACAAAGTTGAGTACACATTTTATCTATTTTTTCACGTTTTTAATTGTTATTTTTCTTGATGGTTTCTCGGGCCAGATTTATACAGAGTCTGCAGCAGCCAAAATCCCTGCCGTTCTGGATTACCTGGGAACCGTCATCGAGGTAAGTAGCATTATTAAAAGTAGGATTGTACAATCTTTGGTCCTTTACTAATGCTATGTTAAGTGCATTCGGTAGTTGTATACATGGAATTTTATGGAGGGAGCTCCTGTCTCTGAGTGAAAACTGTCCCCCGAGTTTTTCATAGCTACCAAGCACCAATCTCGAGTCATTTTCTTAATCCTCGAGTCAACCCACCTAGCATGAGGCCCAACCTAGTGTCGATTATATATATGTTGCATTAAAGAACATGGCCCTATAATCTTGTTACATGGCCCTAAAATTTGCCTTTAGGATTACAGATGTGTTTCCATTACCAATTTTGTAGGCCTTTCCAGTTGCCTATCTCAGTTTTCTTTTGGTGGTTGCTGGTTGTTTTTAAGCTCTTTGCTTTGCTGTGTTTTGCACAATTAAACTTTGACTATATGGAAAGGATAAGAGACTTGGGCCATGATAAACGAACCCATGCTTTTAAAAACTCTCATCTGTAGAACTTTACATCTTAAATTGCAGCTTGATCTATCAAATTGACTTAATTATGTTTTCTCGTGTAATTAATTTGTTAATTCCTTTTAACAACCCTGAAGACCAGTAGCATTGCATGTTGATACCCTAGAAATAGTTACTCTTGGGCCCCTACCTGTATCTTGACCTCATTGATCCCCAATCACCACTCATAGGATGGGTTGTCAATTACGTAGCTAGTTGATGTTTATATCATTTTGCTTGAAATTGCTAGCACATGAACTTCATTGTAAAATGCAAATTGAAATATACTCAATTGTTGTCTTTCAATATCCTCATACGGGTTCAATTGTGGTTCTTAGATTCAAAGAACAAAGTGTCGAATATTCTTTAAATAAACATGGATTTTTTTCTTGATGCTTCGCAGAAAAAATCATAATACTATTATAGTGTATACCCATCAGAGATCTAGTCAATGTGGCACCTATTTTGTTTAGGCTACCACTAAGTATTGAAGTCACTTAATTCAACGTAGAGATGCCAAAAAAATAAGCTGCTGTTTAGCTCCTATTATTCTCAGAACACCTTGTCACATGGCAGAAGTTAGCCCCTACATTCTCTGCAGTGATCATTTCGACTTTCTGATCTTATGTGCATTTTTTGGGTTGAACGTGAGAAATAGTTTTCATAAGTCGTCCTGTTATTGTCTGTGATGCGTTTGGTACATGGGACGGGACAGGACAGGACAGGACAAAACTCACTGTCCCATGTTTGGCGCAACATGGGACAGAACAAGAACTCACTGTCCCACGTTTGGCGCGACAAGGGACAGGGACAAGAACTGGGACAAGGTGGGACAGCATGGCACAAAAGAGGTTTTTTCTTGTTCCACCAAAATAGGTGGAACAAGATGGGACTAGAATGGGACAGAAACTAAAATATTACTAATCTACCCTAGTTTGATATATAACCTTAATATGATATTTGTTCTAATGGTCATCACCGCTAGTTTCGGTCGCCGCCACCACTACAGGCGGTCACTGGCGGCCACCTCCACCTCCACCTCCTCTTCCACTACAACATCCTCCACCGCCTCCACAACCACCGTCCACCAAGTCCATTGCCACTTCTACCATAGTCGACTACTGACCACCACCGTCCATTGCCACCACTACCGTCGTTCGCCACCATCAACTCATCCTCTATTGCAAACAACCTCCTCCATGACCTCCACCGGTCACCACCATTCATTGCCACCTCACCTCCACCATAACCACCACCACCACTATCTTCACTACATCAACCACAACTACCTCCTCCACCGTTGTCAACCGCCACCACCAGAATCTACCATCTTCATGTCCTCTATAAGCCACCGTCGTCCACCAAGTACCACTGCCTCTACCTCCATAACCACTGTTGGCCACCGACCACCACCGTCCGTTGCCACTAACACCGTCAGCCACCACCACCTCCACCATAACTAAAACCACCTCCACCAACACATTACTATCATCAATTATATCAATTTTTTCATTCAAATTTGGTATAAATATGAAAATTATGTACAAATATTTATCAATTAAATTCTTTAATTATTTACTTTATTTGTGTTAATTATAACTATTATATAATATTTAAAATCATCAAATGGGTAGCTTCTTTAGTTCTGTCCCATCCAGTCCTAGTCGTACCAAACACCAGACATACTCCTGTTATGTCAAGTCCTACCCTCTTGTCCTGTTCTGTCCTGTCCTATCTAGTTCTGTCCTGTTCAGTCCTGTCCAATTATGTATGCGTTCCAAACGCTACCTTACAGTGCTTTATATTTTTTTTTTTTCACAAGTCGTCCTGTTAGTCTGTGAACATGTTACAGTGCTTTATATTTTGTTTATCTGTTTTTACTGCAACTCATTTGTGCTGCAGGCAGGGTGCAAGTTTATTGTGTTTGCTCATCATCAGCCAATGATTGATTCAATACATCAATTTCTTCTTGTAAGACCATTTAGTTTTGTGTGAAATAAATGATTCTCATTATATTTGCCTAACTTCATTACCTTTGCCCAATTTTCAGAGGAAAAAGGTCGGTTGTATCCGGATAGATGGTGGTACTCCGGCAGGATCACGGCAATCCTTGGTTACAGATTTCCAGGATAAAGATGCTATAAAAGCAGCAGTGGTATCACACATTTCCCTCTACTTTATTTCAAATTTGGCATGAAAAGTTAAAGTTTGTTGCCTAAATGTCATTTACGTCTCTAGCTATCTATCAAGGCTGGTGGTGTTGGGTTAACATTAACAGCGGCAAGCACAGTAATATTTGCAGAGCTTTCTTGGACTCCAGGCGACATTATTCAAGCTGAAGACCGAGCTCACAGAATTGGCCAGGTAAAAATATGCGTTGTAACTTATAAGTTTTATGCAAGTAAATTTCACAAGAAGGTTCCTTGGTTCAGCATTTGGCTTGGGTTCTTGTGATTTTTGCTAATCTTTTGATTTCTACTTGCAAGATGTGATGTTCTTTGGTTCTTGTAGATATATGTGGCTGTTTTATTTTAGATTTCCATCTTTTTGCAGGCGTCTTCAGTGAATGTATACTATCTCCTAGCAAATGACACAGTTGATGATATCATATGGTACGTTGAGATTTAGCATCTTTTTCGATGTTGTATGTTTGGAAATGTCTTGTGACAAGGCATCATATTGGCTTGTTTTTTCAGGGATGTTGTGCAAAGCAAGTTAGAAAATCTGGGACAGGTTTGGTTTTCTTTTCCTCTTGTCATCAATCCCTTTTTGTCGTTATTGAAGAGCTGTGGTTAGATTTGGATGAAAAATGTTACAGATGCTGGACGGGCACGAGAAGTCACTGGAAGTTTCAGTTAAGCAGCCAAGAAGTAGCCCTGCAAAGCAGAAAACATTGGACTCATTTGTGAAGCGTTGCAATTCACTCAACTCGGAACAACAATCAGACCCGAAACATCAGAGGCACTGATTCTGTGGAATAGATGCCAAAAAATCAACCAACCAATTTGACAGGAGATATTATTATGTATTTTAGTAGGGTTACCGGGTGAGCATGGCAAAAACCAAGAATCTTACCCGGTAAGTGCGGAAGAACTCTTATCCGTTGAGTGCTTACCCGATAAGACAAGTGAAGTGAGGGTGTTCGGTTAATTTGTGGTTTTTAGGTATATATTTGTGTCTAATGTTTGGTTTGATGTGGGGATACCTCAAGTCAAGTGTACAGGTTTTGTTTATGGCAAGATTTGTGAAACTAATGGGTATCTTCCTTCAACGACTCGCTTTGGTTCGGACTAGTCTCTTGGAGAAATAAGCATTACGAGTAAAGACTACACCCTTTTGAAATATGTACTCATCAGATGAAAAATGTACAATGAATTAGTGGCTTCCGTTGTGTTAAGCTATTTTTGAGACAAACATAAACCTAAGAATAAAAGTGAGATTGATTTCTCCTACTAAAAAAGAACAATGTTAACCACAAGGGTGGTGTCTAATTGGTTTGAGCTTGGCTCAAAAGGTCAAGAGTAACAGGAGGTTTCAGGTTCAAATTTAAGGAGGAATAAAAATCTTCTTGTGGCCACGGAGGTTTAAATGCGGTGACTCTGGGCTATCTGCATAGTAGGTGGTCGTTCTGAGATTAGTCGGCTCGCATAACGGGTTGGATATCCAGGTTGATAAAAAAAAAAAAAAACAATGTTGTAACATTTAGTTACACTTTCTATCTGTAATCTATTTCACCTCATGAAATCAAATACAATTTTCATCTAAAATCTTAAATGATAGAATTATAGAAAGTGGAAAAAAGTATGTGTATCAAGATTCTCAGTCGGTGGAATCTCAATCAATCATTCCACTTTTTTGCATCACTTTTAAAACAGGCAATTGACGACAATGTGAGCCTGAGTGCCAATGTTGACGACGATGTGAGCTTGAGTGCCACCGTTGACGACGACAGCTGGCTAAAATAGGCCATCCACAAGAGATAGTCTCCGATGACGAGGGATGGAATTCAGAGAATTCCGACAAGTCAAGACGAAGTGTGGCAGCGAGTTTACGAGATTTTGCAGAGTATGATGAGGGGAGTGGCGGACATGGACGGACCCAATATAGGGAAATTGTGGCCCGTGCTACCATATTGTTCATCATTTCGTAGTGTAAGAAAATTTAGAGCATGAAAATTGTTACCGTATTAATTTGTTGTGTGTCGGTTTGTATTTTTGAAACTACACAAGTTTTCCTTGGTAATTGTTTTGCAAGGTTTTTCTTCCACCTCTGACCCAAGTTTGAATCTTGTTGGTGTTATTTTCTTAGTTTTTGACTTTTAATTTCATATCTATTATGTTTCTAAAAAAATTTGCAATAAAATAATTGAACACATGAACTCACATATGAAAAGCAATGAACTAAACAACAGATTAATGATGACTTGTGAAAAATATCTATATATTTGTTTCTTATTGTCACCGTTTGAAAAAAAAATCTGGGTCCGTTCCTGGTGGTGGAGCTATGAGAGGCAGCGAGGTTTGACGAGGAGAATCGAAGATTGGATAGGGAAATGAGTTTACGAAGATTGTATTGAAGACACAGTTGGAGATTACTTCGTTTTTATGTTCAGGAACAAGTGATCCGAAAAGGAAAAAGAGTGAAAAGGACGAGGGACCTGCTGGAACTTCCAAAGTAGTTGTGAGATTAGGTAGAACTTTCACAAATATAACAAAAATGCCACTATTTTTAATGGTCTTTGATTAAAACCATTGGATGATTGAGATCGTTTTTTTACGGCCCTCAACCTTTTCTGGTAATTACATGATTTAATCTCTATATATAGGCGAAAAATCGTGTAAGAATAGAAGTTAAGGTGAGAAACATAAAAAGGGATCTAGACAATTGATCACTTTTAATTTCACCTCATCCAATGAATTGCGTTTCTCACGGAAATTGATCCGTTGTATCTCATTATATATAGACGAATGAACATGTCAGAAGAGAAGTTACGATGATAAGCATAAAAATAGATCTCTTTTAATCTCATGTTCACCCATAAATTACACTTTAGAAGAAGAAAAATTGATAAGATACATCTCGATACGCTTCATTAATGTTGACGTTCAACTAAGATTAATTTAAGAATGAAAATCTCTCCCAGCAAGATGAGAAATACAATTCAATCTCAACCGTCCATTTAATTTGATGAATATGTGATTTCATAGAAGTTTTGATTGTTGTCTAATATAAAATATTGATCATAACTAACGAATCTTATTCATCTTCCATAAATATTTAAATCATAATAAATTAACTCTCATCATTTTCATAATTATTTCAATTTATTGGGTTGCATTTGTTGTACAAACGTGATGAGTTGCGTTTGAAACAAACTCTATATATATAGGAAAAAGGTGTTCTCGTAAAATGGAGATGTTCTCGTTTAAACCTCCATATATATATATATATATATATATATATATATATATAGGGTATATTTCTTTTACAACCTTATGCATTTGTACAACCTTTGCAATCCAATTAATTGAGATATTTATAGAAATGATTGGAGTTTATTAATTATGATTTGAATATTTATGGAATATGAATAGAGTTTATTAATTATGATTAATACTTTATATTAGGAAACAATTAATTGATTAAAAATTGGATGGTTGAGATGAGGGTTGTATAGGGTGTAGGAATGACAAAGGGTGTAGAATAACATCCCTCTATATATATAGAGAGAGAGAGAGAGAGAAAGAGAGAGAGAGAGAGAGAGAGGTTGGTTATTATACAATCATTGACATTTGTGCAACCAATACAACTCAATCTCAACCGTCCATTTCATTTGATTAATATGTGATTTCATAGAAGTTTTAATTGTTTCATAATATAAAGTATTAATCATAATTAATGAATCATATTCATCTTTCATAAATATTCAAATCATAATAAATAAACTCTCATCATTTTCATAAATATCTCAATTTATTGGGTTGCATTGATTATACAAATACGATGGGTTGTATTTGAAACGATATATATATATATATATATATATATAGTGTTTATTTCAAATACAACCTATTGCATTTGTACAACCAATGCAACTCAATATATTGAAATATTTATGGAAATGATTAGAGTTCATTTATTATGATTTAAATATTTATGAAAGATGAATACGGTTCATTAATTATGATTAATACTTTATATTATGAAATAATCAAAACCTCTATAAAATCATATATTAATCAAATGAAATGGACGATTGAGATTAGATTGTATTGATTGCACAAATGACAAAAGTTGTATAATAACCAACCTATATATATATATTTGAAATGAGTAAATTTGTCAGTTGCTTATTATGATATAGATTCGGGTTTGAATTCAATTCAAGTGGAAATAAATACAAGAATTATTCATTCACCCTCACCCTCATCTTTGGATAAAACATTCAAACTTGACGGCGTTGTCACATTATTTATATATATTTATGTAAATCGGTTATAACTCCACGAAAATATAAAAATTTACATATTTAAGTCCCTATAAACATGGACCAATAGAAAAATGACACTAAAAGATAAAACCAAAATAGATTACAGCGAGTTAATTTATGGTTGTCTTGCGGGTCTCTTTTACCCGAAATGTCTCCTACGTCAAATCTTAAACTATCATTTCCCTTGCTGAGGATTGAGTCACATGAAATTTTTTCCATATTTCTAAAATGTTTCAAAGCGGCAAAAAGTCAACATATACCCCCGCAAGTTTGGCATGCAAAGCTTTCATGTCTAATTACCAACCCATTTGTCCAGAATGAGGGAATTAAGGCGGATATAGTCGAACCGGTTGATTTAAGGTGGTTGATAAGCAGAGCTGTATCTGTAACACACTATCAAAATTCTTATTCACCAACCTAAGGCGTGGAACTCCTGCCGGAAGACTCGGCTGGTTTTTCCGGAAAATGCCCGAACAAAACCACTTTAATCAAAATAACTATTTTAATTAATTTAAATCATAAACATACCATCAATTATTAATCTCTATTCAACACCAAACAAATTAAATTCTCCTTTTTACCCAATAATTAGTGATCCAACACTTGCACCATATATATAAAAAATAGCACCTCTACATACAATTAATTACTCAAAAATATATATATACTTGTTCACAGTGCTAGTGCTGGGGCTGGGGCTCCCATCGTATTCTGACCAAACAAGAAGTCATTGACAATGGAATCAACATCCTCCAATCCCACCCCAATGCATAATGGATTCCCATTCCCATTCCCAACTTTCACATTCGGACCATCTCTGCACTTCCCCATACATTTGCACCCAACCACCAAAGCTGCTGCTTCCCCACCACCAACTGCTTTTTGAAAATTCTCCAACAACACTGCTGCTCCAGATTTCTTGCACTTTCCTCCCATGCATACCTCTATCTTATCACCCACCCTCTTGCTCTGCATCTTCATGTTCATGTTGTTTTCTACTTCCTCAACCATTGATGATGGTGATTCTATTACTGTTGTTGTTGCTGTTTCAATTGCACTTGGAGATGCCAGCAATTGGCTTAATGCCAATTTCTCACATTCAGACTCAGAAGACGACGACGACGATGATGATTCCTTCTTGCTTTTGCATTCCATCATCTTTGCTGCTTTCTTTTTCGCCTTTTCTTCCTTTTTCCTCCTCTTCAATTCCATCTTCTCTGCTTTTAGCTTCTGCAATTGTCCAACTAACACCTCTGTTGCTTCCTGCACAATCATCCCAAATCAAAAATCAACATCAACACATTCAATCACAAAAGAAAGAAAAACAGAAAGGAGAGTTTGATCGTCATACCGATATCATCTTCCCTCTCACTTGTTCATCCAACCCATCATTAACATTAAGATTCAAACCAAAACCCATATCACCGAATCTAGCCAAGTTCTTCGACAAACCCTTCACCAGTTTCAGCTGTTTCTTCATCTCTTTCTCCTTCATCGACATCCTCGGACCACCATTGTAATCGTAATACTGCAAGTGGCTCTTGTCAGAAAACTCATCACAACCCGCCAAAGCAATAACCGACTTCCGACTCCATTGTTGTTTAGGACTGAACGATCTGAAGTTTACGCTACTGTTGGAAGAGAAGCACGGAGCCTGACGGAACACAACCCCAGCGACCTCCATTGATTCGAATTTGATGCTCAACCTAGAAACCGAAACGAAGAGGGAAGAAGGAGATATGGAAAGGGTTTGTGGGATTGAATCGAATTTATGGCGTTCACAGTTGGATTGAAGCGTGATTTTCGTTTTATGCGAAAGGAAAGGAAAGTAGCGTGCAAGGATGAACTAGTGTTTGAATGTGAAGATGACTTCAATCTGGGCCGTTGGATCACTGCGTCTAAGCCTCTCCACCGTTGGATATGACGTGGCAGATGAAGGCTCTCCTGGCACTCGCGCGCTCGAGGTGGTTGTCAGTTTGCCATGCTCTTTAGCCTTGTTGGCATGCGCATTTATACACCACCTGCTGACATGGATTGACACGTAGATCTTTAGCCTTGTTGGCATGCGTATTTATACAATCTCTCTGCCCTCTCATTCAAATTTTGCTGACATGGATTGCCACGTACACTGCTTACTAGACACTTTACTTTTCCCCTCTTTTTTCACTTTTTAATTTTTCAATATGAATGTTAAAAACATGGGAACTAACATTTGGCACGGTCATACCCCTTTATGTAGCATGGTCGTGCCAAACTTAAAAAACGTTTGTTACTCCCACGGAATTGTGACGGAAATTAGACATAAAATGGGATCCAAGGCCGTATGTGGAGTGTAATTTCTCGATTCCCGTATTGTTTTTTTGACACCATAAACAAACAACCAAATAAGTAATTATGTTTCCATGTTCTATGTCATCGGTGAATAAAACTAAGAGCCTGTTTGGTTTAGCGAAATATTTTTATCGGATTCGGCTATTGTGTGTTTGGTTTGTAGGATTCAGAATAAAATTGGAATTTCATTTTTTTTATACATCGGGTTGCAGGGTTTGGAATGCAATTTAATTTTTGCAAATAGTTTGTTTGTTTCAGTAAGATTTGGAGGCGGTTGAGATACCGTGAGCAGATTTAGGTGCCGTTTACCAAATGTTTACTTGGGTAAGCGTTTTCCAAGTCACTTTACTTTGTCGGATGATTATGCAAGGACTAAAAATTTTAACGGTAAGAGACAAGGCAAGAATTGAGAATCTTACCCGGTAAGTGAGGACGAGAACTTTTACCATGGTTAGCGCTTACCGGAATAAATTGTTGCATACGATACGTTTTAGTGAATAAAATTTTACCCGATAAGTAAACGATAATATTGAATTTTACCGGTAAGTGTTTAGGTAAACGGCCCCTTAATAAAAGAGGCGAGGTAAAGATGTGATGGAAACAATTGAAATTCAAGAAATTTGGATTTGAAATGAAAGTTATTTAAGGGATTTTTATATCTGAATTTCATTGAAATGTATTTGGCATTTTAAGTGTTAAAAATGTGTTTTTTTCAATGACATTTTTGTTTTTTAGTGAAAAAATAGAAGTAATTTTTTAATAAATAAAAAAAGGAGAACATACAATTTGACCTCTTCATGTTCTATTCTATAATTATATAGGTTTAGATGTTTATAAATAAACTACATATTTATATTACTATTTTTAGACCTTAAAATAAAATGTCCTTGACAAATTTATTATAATTTTTTTCTTACTGATAAGAAAATATTTTTAATATTCTATAAACTGTTGTTGTTTATATATATATATATATCTGTGTCTGTATCTGTATCTGTATCTGTATCTACATCTACATTATCTTATAAAACATATGATCAAAAGTCTTAAAATAAATTTTAAAAATCTCTTAATTATAATATGATGAGTTTTATGTATAACTTATCAATGTTTTTACATACATGTTAAACATGTTCTCAGACTTCCCTTCCCAAATTGATTTACCCAAGATGATAATTCAAGCTTCCATTATGATTACTGATTCAAGACCATATCTATATCTATAAGTTTTTATATGCTCACGACACGTGTCACATAAAGAATATGTGTGCTTATGTTAATAAGAAGCCCAAATTAAAGTCATGATTGACTGTTAAATAATTATTTTTGACGAATAGTTATAAAATATGTGTTAAAATGTAATTATGATAATTATAATGTGTAATTTGTAAATACTTATAATTATATTAATGTTTTAAGATAATTATATATTTATTACAGATCAATGTTAAACCTTATGCAATCCATATAAATAGGGTGATAGACCAAATCAATTTCATGTGATTTAATTTTAGAGTTTTGGCTATCAGATAAAAATACATAAAAGAAACATTTTCTTTTCTGTAAAACATATATAGATCTAGGGTTCTGGGGTTAGCACTCGGTAAAAGATCTAAGTGTGTTCGTTTGTGGATTACGGATAGAGGAAACTTATTTTGGTTTATAAGTGTTGCATCAAATCTACACCAAAGTTTTATTTTCCCTTGCGTTAACGGTTATGAAATTGTTTAAAAACCCAACAATGGTACCAGAGTCACTCTGATCGCATTCAATTAAAAAGGAACAAGTTTATATGGCAATAAATTTAATAATTAGAACCCTATCTAGTTTTGAATCGACACCTATGTAAAGGGTTTTAAATCCTAAAAGGTCTTGTGCGACGACCATAGTCACCATCCTCTATGTTGGGCCACTTTTGATATTCATGGTTGTCGCTGGCAGTAATCGGCTTGCAGTCGATTACCACCTGTGGCTGAGGCTAATGACCGCTTGAATCTCTTCCACTACAGGTACAAAGGTGAACTCTTGCTTAAGCCGCATATATCGTCGCCTAAGACAGCCATTTAACCACCGTCCTTAGCGGGGGTGGTCGATCGCTCAGGCCATCTCCTTTCGTGGCCGGTGTAGTTGGGTTACCTTCTTTACTGACTACCATCATTCAATAGATTGTTGTTGGTCGCCACTGGCTTCTAGCCCATAGGCTATGCAACCAGCATTTTTGCTCATCGGCTCACCACCGCTAATGCAGTTGTTGATCGTGTCATCATGAGAAATGGCATGTGGTCCATCTCTTCCCGCCGTGCGATTGTTGATGGTTTAGTCCTCGATCAACCGATTGTTGGCCTTATGTCTTATAGCTGATGACAATTTGGGGAGGGGCGCCAATCGATGACCTTTTGCCACACAGTTGTTGGTCGAACCCAAGTATCGGGGCGGTTGGACTTCCTTCCAACTGTTGTATATTGGTTTTGCACGCCAGCTTCGACCAATTCTTTTCCCGATCACCGGCCACAAATGGTCTGAACATCGTCGACTTGGAGCCATGGTTTTGGGTGTTAGTGTGTATATCCAAAATCCAATCATTTGATGATTCTATTTGGACATTGTGTCATGATACTACTAATTAAAGGCATTGCTCAATTATTATGTTTATGGATTATTTTGTTTTGTATCTAAACGTAATAACAACCTTAAAATAATGTATTCTAAAATGTTTTTAGTCAAGTATTAATTTGGGTTTAAGTTGAATTAATACAGTATGACTAGTATATGTAAGGATTCGTATAGAGATAGAGAATTCACATATGGGTACAAGATGGGATCTTGTGTACAGGATGTGACTTGCTATAAGAACGCTCAATTGGATGCTATATGAAATTATGAATGTCATATACATTTCTTATGTGGTTATTGTATAGCTAGTCCTTTAACTAAGATCATGGAGTTTCCTTTTTGTGAATGGTGTACTTTGATAACTGATTTTAATCATCACATAGCTGGGAGACAAAATGGTTGTTGGGTATATCACATATCATTTAGAATTACTAGCATGAATCAAGATAAGATTTGTTCCTCTTGTATGACGAGAGTAATATCCCTAGGCCCCTCGATTGAATAACACACAGGAAGTGCATGCATACTCAAATGATCAGTATACGATACTGTTAATCAATATAGGATACTAATATATATGTCTTATCAGTATATTCTGGAATCGAGAAACTAAGGATCGGACATAACAAGGATTGCACATTTGTGCCTTGTGTTCGATCTGGATATTTGAACAAAGGGACATAAATTTGTACACTGATAATGATCACACAGTTTATTGATTGGTTGTATCACCAAACTTTGTCATTTAGGTAAAGATGTCTGAATAAGGAGAATAAATAACTAAAAGAGTTTAATTATTTTGTCTTATTTGTATCTTATTTCATACGATTTTATGGAATCAAATTCTAGTTGACTTGATTGACAAGTATAGATAGTATTGACAAATGTAGATGGGATTGACAAGTAGTTTATGCCTGTATAAAGGAAAAGCAATCATTTAGAATATATGAGATATTCTAAAAGGTTGTTTCCTATGCACCAACACACCGCCACTAGAATGGTATCAAAGACATTTTCGTTATCTTAAGAGCACTACGAATATGGGTTTGTTTTGTCCCTATATGTCATCGAGTGGGGATGCCCCAACCGGTACTCCAAACAATGCAAACCTTGTCGGATACACCAATCCAAGTTACTTATCAGACCTTCATAGGTGAAGTTTGCAATATGGTTATGTCTTTACCTTTGGGAACACGGTGATATCTTGGAGGTCTCGTAAACAGAATCCTGTTGCTCTTTCAACGAACCACTCTAAGCTAGTCACACTCCATGAGGCGATAGAGAATGTGTATGCCTGGGAGAAGTTATTGACCATATCAGAAGTTCATATGATTTAGCTTATGATCCCGATGAAGCATTTGTCATTTATGAGGACAACACCGTTGTTATTGATCAAGCGAAACATAGTTACAGTAAAGGGGATACCACTAAACCCATCTCGCCAAAGTTGTTTTTTACACATAAACAACAAGTGCTTCAAAAGAATGTAGTACAACATGTTGGATCAGAAGATAATCATGCAGACTTGTTCACCAAGTCACTACCAAAGTATTCATTCCAAAAACATGTCAAAGCAATTGGACTTATAAAGATTCTAAGCTACCTAAATGACATATATCATGCACAATGTTGTGTGCAAGTGAGGATTGCATCATGATATATGTTTAACACCATGTTGTGTGAATCTTTACGTATACTTACCATCATAGTGTACGCATGTGAGGGGAGCATCACATTGAATGCTTGTGTACTGTTTTTATTTACAGTTCAATGGTTTGTCCCATTGGGTTATATTGACAAAGTTTTTTTAACGAGACACAAACTTGATCTTGTTCTTACTAAGTAGTACCGAAATCAAG